AGAGAGAGAGAGAGAGAGAGAGAAGTTTGGCAAAGGCCGGAAACAGGCAAAGGTTTTTAGTGTGGTCCAGTGCAGCGACAAAGAACAGGCCTATATGGTTCTACTAAATCTTAGTGGTTTACACTATTGTACTTTTAACATGCAGTCTTATTTGTTTATATTACGCAGCTACAGATTTATACATTACATACGGAATTACATTTCATAAAAAGGATTTCTGTCAGCGTAGTATGTGACAAATACGTATTAAAGCGATAATTTATATAATATTCAATTTTTCAAAAATCCAATATCGCTCGTCATATTTTCCAATTCGCTGAACATTTGGTCAAGGTGCTGAAATAAGAAAAATATGAAATATAAATTTTCACCTTCAATAAAACATTTTAGCGAAAAATTTTAAATAAATATAATTAATCCTCCGCCCTCAATCTGTCTTTTGCACACAAGCAAAATTTCACTTTAAAATTTCTCCGAAAAAAGAGAGCAGTTTAAACAAAGCAGTTTAACATTTGAGTTAAAAAAGTATTTGGTAACGTAGACATATTGAAAAATAACATTGAATTTTTTCAGATTTTTAGAAAAACCTAGAATAGTAAAAAACTTGGGCTGGACAAAAAAGACCCAGATTGCGGACGGAGTAAAAATGACTGCAGATGGAGGATTAATAAGTAATCGTGCGCGCTATATACTTACATCCGCTGGTTCTTCTTTCTTATCTTGTATTGTTTTCGATGACTTCGTCATAAAAGCTATATTCCCATCATCGTCGACATCTTCATCTTCATCGTCCTCTTCGAAATCTTCCTTATTATTATCCACATCATCGTCAGTATCATCCGGTTCTTCAACATCGTCATCATCGTCGTCATCATCATCATCCGACTGCATGTTACATATATCCATCTCAACGTAATCTATGGGCTCTTCTTTGATTTGTGTAATGAGCGTTTCTTCATTAGGATTGGTCTGCGTTAAACACGTTGATGGATCCTCTGATGTCGAAGGCATTTCAGAAGCCTGTGATATTTACACAACAATAACAAATATGTAAATTACGCAAAACCAGGGTTGAATAAGTTAAAATTTTTTTTAACTAATTGTAAGTTAAATTAAAGTTAACAATCTTAAAAATTTAACTTAGTTAAGATACAAGTTAATCCATAATAAAATTAATTGAATTAAAAGTTAAATTAATAAAAAAATAATTGAAAAGTTAAAAGTTAAAATTTTATTTCATAATTTTAGGGTTTCTAAATAA